AAAGATGAAAATATTCGAATGCAGTAGATAATGTGGAAGTCTTTTGTTTTTTTGTTTGTTTTTTTTTCTCCCCAGAGTGCGTGTAATGAGAGGATAACGGTTGTAAAGCAGGGAAGGAATGGAAGATTTTATGTATACGATCAGTCCACAACCCCACCACATCTCCCTCCCTAAGAAATTGTCTATAGTGGTTTCGAAGTGCTCTTTGTGATTTTATAATCAGATTCGCGTGAAAGCGAACGTAAGTTACATATCACTGTTGAGAAGGCCCCATCCGCTCTACCGTTACACCGTGTGGAAGCAATATCCGCAAAACGTAATCGGTGCTAGTTACGATGAGTTGAGGCTGTTTATGGCACCTGGACTAGACTTACAGCGATCGCGCAGATTAATGAAAACAAAAATGTTGATGTCATACTGAAAGGAATAAGCATTTTTTATCTCAATATACAGCCTAAAAAGAAGGTGAGCAAAAGAGCCGGAGCCATCTCAGAAAAAATCGCGTCGTCACTGTCAAAGAAAAACTTCGAAGCGGTTAACATTATCGGCTGTATGTGGTTTCTCCATGATCAAAAGAGATCGTCTGCTATTTTCCGCCATCGCTGCTAACCATCGTCATTTTCACTTCCCTTCGCCCTTTCCCCCCGCCTACTCTGAGGCCTTCGGGCCAGAAGGCGGCATCACAATGAACGTTCTTACAATACAATATGTTTTCTTTTTGCCGTAGCCCAAGACGAAGCCAATCCGCGTTGTATCCCGGTGATTATCCCGGCCGTTCCAAAATCGAGTCGCGGATTGTTTACTCGCGATGTCACGTGGTATTGACCGCTGACTTAGGAGACAGGTTACTCGGGTAAGATTTGGAACATAGCCTGGGAGTTTCGGTCAAGGAGGTTATAAGCAGAGCCTTTTATACTGGGAGAGTTCGGCGGGTGGGAGGGGCTTACGGCCCGCTAGGTCTAGCGGACTCAGCGGGCGCCGCTTCCGCCATGATGTGCCTCCCGGCGAGTGGGTCCCCATTGACATGCGATGTATACGCGTGTAGGTTTTGCCGTTTGCGCTTTTGGTGGCGTAAGGAGAAAGTCGAAAAATCAAGCATTTTGTTACGTTAATCATACGTTAATCATAAACTTACCTCGCACAATCGAGAACTCGGCTTCCAGTCAGCCCTTCTTGGTTTCCCAGATCTTGTGCCTTGCGCGCTTTTCTTTTCCTTGCGGGAACCGGTACATCCTGAACCCCTTTTTCGCGTTGTTCGAGCACCCAACGGCACTGCAGCCCTCCATTTCTTTTTCATCTAACGTCTGGCAGAGTGCAGCGCAGAACGATCATTTTCATCGTCGTCTCTCGCTCCATGGACTCTAGCGAGCCGACTGCCGGCTCGAGTCAGTAGGGCAAACGGGTTTTATCAGCCGCCACCAGCCTTACACCAACAAGGGTGAAGCTTGCAATTTAAGGTTATAATTATAATGCAATTAAATGCAAAGGTGCAATCAAGCTAGACGGCAAGGCACATCATGGCGGATGCGCACAGTTGCCAGACTGTTTGATCAGTGCTGCCAGACTGGCGGCTGGATCAAAGAACCGCCGAACTCTCCCAGTATAAAAGGCTCTGGTTATAAGTACTAGGAGGGGGCACGTTGCAATATGTGTGTAGCCTAGTCATAAAAAGTTTAAACGATGTTGTGCCCAACGTTACCCCCAGATCTCTCTGGCAATTGGTGCGCGTGACACGTCACGTGCGAGATGGATGGTTGATTGTAGTAGGATTCCTTGCAGGCTTGCGCGAGCTCCGTCCGGCAGGCTTTATCTAGTGCCACTAAATAAGCTACGCTTCAGAGTAACGACACTTGCCCATATTGTGGCTTAAAATCATGGTGGCCAGTTATCCGAAGCTTTATCGGAAATCACAAGAAACACTATTCCGCCCTCCACAAATGTTTAAACAGATCATGACAGAGCAAAAACTATCCCATTCCATCTTCCTAACACCGAATCTAATGCTGAGGAAGTCGCACTTTTGAATCATGACGATCGGCAGTCCCGTCTGCTTTGCACAATCCCCAAAATGGCGGCGCCCACAACAATGTCGGGGAACAGAGTTCCGATACTCTAACCGCAGCTCATTTAGTGGCTCTAGCTTTATCAGATCGAAGGCTAGACATGAAGCAAGCAGCTCCGTCCTGTAGGTCACGTGCTGGGCCGATGAGTGAAGAGGTTAAGGAGGAAAATGAGAAAGAGGCGAGGCGTCAAAAGAGCTTGGCTTGTGAAGGCTACTCGGCCGGCGTCATGCCCCCTCCTGCCCTTCTAATCTCCTTGGTTTCGGTATAGTCTGGTAACATTCAGAGCCGTATATGTAGAGAGTTTGGCCATTCGTTGTGAAGTATATGAGACGAATGAGGAGGTGCCGTTGGCCGAAAGCGAGCTGGGCATGTTCCAGGGCGTCTTCACCAATTCGAATGTGGCCAACCAAAAGCCGGAAATAATACCCTGGCGGTGGTCGCGAGAAACAAACCTGATAAGTGCGTCGGAGTAACTCTCGGTGACTGAAAATATGGTGCACGTGATGTTTCAATCATGGTCATCCAAAATCATGATGGAAGAGTGTGACTAGCGAAACGATCGACATAATCCGTACGCCAAACGCCGAGGGCCGGGAATCTGCCGTCCAGGCGGTCCCACTCCATCCAAACAAAACAGAGCTGAGCGGCGCGTTCGTTTCTTACATCTTTCTGCACGATCATGATCGAAACATCACGTGCATCCTATTTTCAACCAAGGTTTCTACACTTCACTCTTACGTGCTTATTAAAACCATATACCAACATATACCTTGGACCAAAAGAGTTTCTCGCTACCACCGCTAGGGGATTCTTTTAGGCTTCTGGTTGGCCAAGAGAGCACGCCATTGACCAAACTCTCTGTATACACGGATCTGGGAACATTCAGTGACTCTAGCAGTTTGCTAAAGGCTGGCGCCGTTATCGTGTTTAGCTCGGTCTCGGCGGACGCCAGTGGCCCAGGTTTCAAGGCTGAGTGCCCTAACTGAGTGTTCTAGTAACGTTGGACCCGCCCATGTAATGGCTGCATCGAGCATAAAGCACCACTGCAGCGTTCGATCATGCACGAGCGACGATCGTTTACAAGCGTGCGCCAGCGTCTGTTCAAGCGCGGTAAGAGAGCGTCTGAAAAAAAAAAGAGACTAAAAAAGTTTAAATAAACAAAAAATATGCAGCTCGCGCTGTCCCATCAAGGTGATAAGAGTGATTTATTTAACTTTCTTGTACCTGTTCCTTCTTCTTTTCCACAAGTTTCATTTGTTTAAAAAAAGTTTTACCACCAATACATTTTTGCCAGGTTAGCGTCTGCGAGAACGCGAAGAAGCGAAATGATGCGCAACCGAGACGCGCCGGAGAAATATTCGATGCTGTTCGCCAGGGCATGCCAGAGGCGCTTCCCAAACTTGAGAGCTACAGCTCTGCCAAAATCTTGAACTATCCCAGAAATATAGCTCCTTTTCTTTTTTTGCCAGTTTTTGGGAAATATTTTAACTCTTCTGAAGAGCCAACAAAGTTCTAAATGCATACGCGTGAAGTACGGATTAAGAACTAAACATTTTTGGAGTGTTTCGTGCACGTTTTCTGAATCCTGTCTGCTGCGCGTGGAAGTTCTCTCTCTAGCTGTAAAGTTAAGCCTTAGGAAGCATACGAAAATAAGCACAAACAAAATAAAATCGCGATCAAACGCTGTTTCATGGCAGGGGATCGCAAGTGTTTGGGAGAGGGAGGGGGCGAGGAGGAAGATCTATGCCGGAACGCCGGTCATGGGGTACAGATAAAACGGGGCACACCACAAACGTTTTACTGCGGATTTCTTCTCCTTTTCTTTTAAACGTGCACTGCGCAAGAAATGCAAACAAAACACCCTTCCCCCTCCCCTCATCCCCGACAATCTCTACACCACGATTGCGCCCTTATCAACGGGCGCCACAGAATCTAGGTGCTCGCCAAACCACCGATAGTAGCACAACGTCACCCAAACCGACCAAACAAACCGAAAATCTAGGCAAGGGCGCCGTTCCCACAGGCACGCAAATAAATAAATGACAAAATAAATTAATAAATAGTTTTAAAAAAAGGAGCCAAAAGGTAGGGGGCCCCAGCACCCCTCTGGGCCATGCCCGAGAAGACGAAGGCCACTTGCAAGTTCCAATCTCATACCCGGCGGCCGGGACAACTGGAATGCAGCCGACGTTTTTCCTCTTGCCCGTGAGCTACGCGTAGCAGAAGAAAGAAAAAGAAAAAAAGAAACACCTTGCCCCCAACTTTGGGGTTCTTTTATTTTCATGTTATCCGCCTCACCTGTATCTTTCGCTTCTTTATGTTCTGTTTCTCTCTCTCTCTTTTTTTTTTTTTTCAGCGCTCGCGCGAGCAAGCATTAGAGAGCCTGTAATAAAGAGAGTTTCCGACCCTTCGATCATGATCACGTGATTTATGGGCCGCATTTGCAATACGAGCTGCAAGGAGGTGCCGAAAGCGTTGATCGTCTGCTCCAAAGGTCTCCGCCTGCTTTCCTCCTTGCCACACAATACTGCAACGCATGCGCACTCACGACCAATCTCCGCAGGAAGGCAACGTTGGCAGGAGGCTAGATTGGAGAGATGGACCCTCTCTCCAATCTAGGCTCTCTCAACCAAGCGCACACACACACACACACACACACACACACGCACGCACGCACACACACACACACACACACACACACGCACGCACGCACGCACACACACACACACACACACACACACAACTCCCCTGGCGGGCAGACGGCGTAATAAAAAAAAAGAAGCGCAAGAAGCGATCGCAGCGCCGCCGCAACGATTGGTGGCAAGCGAAGACAGCAAATCTCCCATACGCAGCCACAACAAAAAAGCGGGAGCGATTATAGCGCCGCCATCGCGTACAGCGGGAGACGCGCGTAACCAAGCGAGCGGCGTGCGAGTTGTGTCGTCGCAAAAGCCTTCACAACAAGCGCCGCGCCGTATCCAAAACAGAAGCTTTCGCGGACGCGGCGCGTCGGGCGCGTTGGAAACATCGACGCAGAAACGCGCGACATGGACTTTTGTAACCGAAGCGCTCGAGTAAGAGAAACTTAGCAAAATACCGAACAAGACTCATCCGCAACAACGCAACTTGGTGGCTTCTTCGCTTCGTCTCGAAAACTTTGCGTGTACCGGCAACGGATTACTACTCCTCTGTCGGTGCGCGGAGTGCTGCTTGCATCTTCCACTGGATACGCCGAACTAGCTCTGTTTGTGCTGCCCTGTGCTAGGAAAAAGAAATCGGATCAGGTTCGATTGTCAGCGGTTCTTCTTCTTCGTGGGGATTGCTTCCGAGTCTAACGGCTGACACCTGTGCTTGTGGGGCGGTCAGCTAATCGGGGCCTTCTCGTGTTCCTGGGCCGCGCGCTTCGAGCCTTGGACATCAGCCAGTGTGACTCGGGATATGCGCTAAGTCAAGATGTGCCGTCTTGTGCGTAGAGGTGCCGTGCTTTGGGTGCTTCTGGTGGTACTCCTGGTAGTGGTACCGTCGTGCCACGCTGCGGAGGCGGACCACTGCTACTCTGCCGGAGGTGTAGCCGGTATCGTGGTCGCTACCGCGGTGGTAACTGCGGTTCTCATCGGCCTTGGACTTGCGGCGGCCTGGTACTTGCTGCGTCGTCAGGGCAAAGGTAGGTTGACCTGTGGTTTTAATACATCGTTTATTTTTGTTTGTTTTTTAGCTTATATTATGCGTGGATGCGCATAAATAGATGCGGCCGGCCAAAAGACCCGCTTCTTTTTGTTTGTACTGTTATTTACGTTGTCGGACTTGTTTTCGCCTCCACGTCGTTACTGTAAGACACTATAACTACGGTAGTTGGAATGCTCTAAAGAGTGAAATAGATTAAACCATAAGAAACATACAGGATCATATACCGATTCAGTGAAATCAGGTCTTCATTTCTCTGGTTAGACGTAAATGTCGAGCTCTATAAGAAAATAGCCCTATAATCGCCGAAAATTGTAATATACCTCAATTAATAATAATAATGATAATCATAATCAGTTGCCAATAATTTATTTTATTCGATGCCGATAAACGGCCTTGTGGTCTTTATACTGGGACCACTCAATGGCACTATGAGGTTACACTGGATAAAAATATAAGACAAATGAAAAAAGCGTACATGTATATGTTGTGATAATAACAATAACAAAGAGTAAACTATTAATTGAAATACAATTAATCTACAGACCACATAGAGCGAGAGATAAGGTACGTCTGTCACAGACAACAAGGGCATACAATACACTGAAATTCACGTCAATGAATTTCTAGAGGACATTCGAAACATCTGTCGCCGGTCAAGGCTTAAATATTTTTGCCTTTTCTTTTTCTTCTTTTTTTTTAATTTCGGTTGACTTTGTGTAATCGACCGTCGGCTCGCCATTGTCCAGATCGATACGTAAATGTTTGATGACTTCACCGTACGAGTCTTATGTCGCAAGAAGATATTGAGCAACTTCGATTTAGCCTTTTCTTTTAGGTATTTTGCCAGTTAGGAGTTCGTATTAATGCCGGCTAACAATTAAAAAAAAATATCTTTTTTTTTTTTTTTATTTTGATGCTACTCTGCCTTGATGCTACTCTGCCTCGAAACCTAAGCTCTTCGATTGAGTGCACGCGCAGTCTTGCATACGTGACTAAAAAAAGCTAATCGGTTACAATTACAATTCATCTTGGTTAAAAAAAAAAAAAAAATATTCAATGAGGTTACTCAATTATTCGAGAAGAAAAATAATTAACTGGCCGTTACTCGAACACGAAACCGTTACTTTTCCGATTATTTCAGATTTTCAAATCGACCGATTTTCCCCCTCTGGTTTCAAAACGGGCCTTTAATTCGTACCATCCATTAAAACCATCTTCCCGTTGGAGATTTGGTTCCAGGATTCCTTGCTAGCCTTGGTTGTGACGGTCACAAGTATATAGTAACGATTGCGAGCAATTTTAATACTTTCGAAGGTAATCAGATTACCTTTGTGATTACTTCCTGATCAAAAGTAATCGAACGAGAACAAAATTACTCCGTAAGGTGATCGATTACGAGTAAATTGCTTGCTTGGGATGGGAGTATCGTGCAAATCTGACTGCACGGTAACATCCTAGGATTTCAGTCCCTTTGGGTTGTAGGGGAATGCCAAACAAAAACTTACCGGATGAAGAAAAAAAAAAAGTGGTGAGCTTTTGTCCGGATTCGCCGAAGAATGGACTAGCTTTTGTCCAGTCACCGGGTAGGGGAGTTAATAATTCCTAAATACCTGGGTCAGCTTTTTTTTTTTTTTTTTTTTTTTTTTTGCTTTTTTTATATATATCTTCAAATGTTAAACACAAATTTATCCGTTCAAAAAAAAGAAATAGAGACAAATGGTTATTCGTGTTGAAAATACGCAATCTGTTGAAAGCGATAACCGCCCGATGGTGGCAAAAATACGATATCGATTCAAATTGAAAACCATGCGATATGGTGAAATTTTAACTCCAGCTAGGTATATGTCTTTGTCGAAACCATACCCTGTTAAGATTTAAACTCTTCGTTTTATTTTAGTTTTCGTTTTTAGCGGCCGTCCGAAGCAGATCACCGTAGTAGATATATCAAAAAGAAAATTACGGTTTGCTTGTACGGCAGGATGGGTGTGGAACCTGAGGGGCAAATGAATGATCGAGGTCCTCCCCTTCAAGATGTAGTCTCAGCTTGCCATAAAACGTCTGTTATTATTTTTGTTTAATTAGAATTAAGGCTAAAACACATGATGCGAAAAAGTGAACCGTGATTCGGACGGAAATCGGACTTGATAACCATTGTACTCAATTTTCAAAACAAACAAACAAACAAAAAAACACATGTTTTTTTTGTTTTTTTTTTGCGGGAAATTGCGATGTTTTACTTTTCTCGCGCCGAGCCGTCCAAAAACCAAAAACTCCGTCCGAAAAAAAAAAGAAGAAAAATAGATACAGATAAATATTTAACGCTCTAGATTCCTCGAATATTTTCCGATTTTTCGCACCTAATTTCTTTTGCAGTTTCCGCAGTGTATATTCGGTGGTTTTTCGGATCATGTGCTCCTCCAGCCTTTACGGCCAACGCGCTAACATCACGCGTGTCCGGCATCGAAGCTCGAACCGAAATAAGTTTACCTAACTTCACGAACTGATGATTTCCTGGAATGTGTTGTCGCTCTTCAAACTTTGGAGCTTCCATTCCTCGGTATTCGCACATCAAAATTCTATTTACGTGCATTCTTGCTTAGGTGTTTTTATTCCAAGGACCTTCGTTGCAATTTTGTCTTCCTGCAGATCGCCAGTATGTTTTTCTATTCTGTGGTCGTATTTCGCTTTTCCATGTTGATTGGATTTACGACTCTCTGCACACTTAAAACTATCGCCAAGTATAATTTCTGTCATTTTTATCGCTCTTTCCACCTCACTTTAATACTGTACATTTTTTTACTCATTTTTTTTTTTTTCATGCAAATTTTGCTTCTAGTTTTTGAAGGTTGATACAACTGTACAAATTCCAAACAAATTATGCTTTGTAAAAAAAAGGCTGTTTTTTTTTTGGGGGGGGGGGGGGGGCAGTTTTTAAAGGCGTTCTAAGTGCGACCTTTTGCGGGCGCAGTATGGAAGCGATCGAGGGTCACATTGCGAGGGTTTTGTAAACACACAAAAGCCGTCACAGCGTCAGGTGACACTGATGTCGCGTGACGTCACGGCGGCACGTGAACTGAACACAAAATCCCCAGCCGGCCCGATAAATGGTACGCATTAAACGAAATACAATTACGTGCTTAGCACATGCTGACACTGTTTCCTGCCTTGTCGTCGAGACCTTTGTCTCCATGCGTTTCAAGATCTCTCATTTTTTCGAAAATTGTATCATAAAAAAAAAAGAAAAAAACTGGAGATGGGAATTGGGGGGGGGGGGGGGGGGGGGGGGGGATAAGTTTCTTAACTTACCTCTCATTAATTTACCCTTTTCAAAACTCCATCGAGCAACATTGGTGGTCGCCATTTCTTGGCCATCCTGGTGATATCCCACACCTCCTTGTGGTAGTTGCGAAATTGCAGAGGGGAAGCAAATATGCTTAGAAGGTTGAAGGGTGGAAACATACTTTTGGTTTTTAGTTCCTAGGCTAGGTGGAGCAAGCTACCGCCCGTTATAAAGGATACAGCCGTTAGCGTCCATCCACCTATTGGGCACGAAGCGTCTGATTGAACCCCGGTTCTCGCCGAACGCTAACGCAGCTCTCGTGTCCGATACATGCTCAGAGGACGTGCCCAAACGATGGAGGACTCTTATAAGTGGCGCAGCAGATAGATGGCGCGCACATCTGAAAAGAAGTCTGTTGGCTGACCACGAGGAAACTTGCTCCGTGACTTTTTGGTCTCTTTTAAAGAACAGCCTGCAGAGTTTATTTTTTGGTCCCGAGTATTTTATCCCCCTTTGCGTCTCCAAGCCGCCAAAACACTCGAGGGGGTTAAGTCTGGAGATGTGAATGCATTAGGGAGGCGGGACGCAACGCACGGGCGTTGCCCCATTATTTGGGCGACCGAAGATGAATGGACCTGATAGTTGCTCGTAAATAAATGCTCGACTGATAGTTAAGTAGTTTCGAGTGTTCCTCCTCCTCCTCTCTCTCCTTGACGGGCTAAGGCAATGCCACCTAGAAGACGAGGCCGGCGCCATTTCTCCCCGCCCCAAACGTCATCACTGGATGGATGGATGGATGGATGAATACGGCTGAGCCCTTTGGATCGGGCGGTAGCTTACGCCACCTAGCCATTTTGTTTTACCATTTAAGCTTAGAATATTTAAATGTGAAATCTATATTCACTCCGCAGTGCACTCCGCAGTGCAAAGTGCACTAGTGGAGCTACGCAGCGCCACCTATGCGGCTCGCCAGTTTGTCTGCTCCTTTCGCAGGAGATGTGCCGTGACGTCAGAACTACGGCGAGCTCTGATTGGCTTTGACTGAAAGGATAGTGAGTAGTAGACCTCAATGCCAGATGCCTTGAGGTCTACCGGCCACTCTTTTTTTCTTTCAATCAGCCAATCAGTGAGCTCGGCGTAGTTCTGACGTCATGGCACACCTCCAGCGAAAGAAGCAGACGAACTTGCGTTTCGCATAGCTCGCGTCCGCGTCGCAGCCGACGCGTCTCGCAGCGTCACACAGCGAGTGCGACGCTAGAACGCTGCGTCGCAGAGACGGAGAGTCTGTTGCTTGGGACCACTAACGATGACGTAATGCGCAGGCCTTGTCTTCCATGTGGTATTGGCTGAGGCCGCCGCCTTCGAGATTCGACACCGGAGTGTATGGACTGCATGATTATTATAGAAGAGCGATACTGTGCAGGTATCTTTTTTCTCTTTCGCAACGGTGTCTTTTGAGTGTGCAATCATCTCGAGTGTATTTTAAGTATAGGGTGTATAAACCCCGCTCCGCGAAAGTGAGTTGCCGATGCGCGCTCTTCAGTGCTCGTTGTCACACCAAGCTAAAAGACAGTTTTGCGCATTGTTCGTGCGCTACGCGAAATAGTTCTTAACAAGATTTGGTTGTTGATGGAAGAGACGATGTCTTTGGGGCTTGAAACGTGTATACGTCTAGATAAAATGACATGGATATAATC